CCCTTTTAAAAGCAATTTGGTAATGACATCAAGAAACACAAAGCTGTTCTTAACTTTAAAGACACTAATTCCACTTTGGGAATCTTGCCCAAGACAGTTAATCCAACATTTGGACAACAGTTACAAACACAAAGAAATTTATAAGTATCCCAAAATGAAACAACCAAAATATCCAGCAATGAGAGAACAGTTAAATAATGTGGAGGACATTTATTTCTTGGGAGTGTTACAAAGTTATTATAAATCTCTGTTATGAAGACAACAAAGCAACAGCTTATAAAGTGAACAAAAAGAAATTTTCTCACATGCTATGCTTATCACTATACACAGAAAATCATATGCAGGAAACATGCAAAAATACCAACAGTTGGTAAGAGTAAAGATTTCTTTATTGGTACTTTCCAAATTTTCTCTAATATAGTTATGCTACATTTAGAATGAAAAAAACTTCTCAATGAAGGGATTCAACTAAATTGTCTCTAAGATTCCTTCTGGCTCTAACTTTCTGTGGTTTTCCTCTGGAACTAGGAGTACAGGTCAGGTGAGAGTGAACTATTAGAACACTTGGGATGGCAGGGGCTACGGATGCCTGTTTACATTACTTTAACAGCACTCAAAACAGCGCATGAGAACATTTGGAAACCAGCTCTCAGGGAAATGATGCAACACCCCCATCTGTGTGACAGAAAGGGCACGAGTCTGGGAAATAGGAGACCTGGATTGAACCAGATGATCTCTGAGGGCCCTCTCTAGACAACTTGTCCAAACGCTTACCAAACAAACATTTACCTAGTGCCTACCTTGTGTTGGGAACCACGTAGCTGAATGATACTGAGCCACTGATTCAGAATCTAATGCTGGAGAAAGATTTTTGGTTTGCTAGGGCTGCCATAACAAAATACCACAGACTGGGTGGCTTAAACAACAGAAATTTACTTTCTCACAGTTCTGGAGGCCAAAAGTCCAAGATCAAAGTGTTGGCAAGTTTGGTTTCTTCTGAGGCCTCTCTCCTTGGCTTGCAGATGGCCTCTTCTTGCTATACCCTCACATGGTCTTTTCTCTGTGCACATACATCCCTGGTGTCCCTGGTGCCTCTTTGTGTGTGCCAATATCTTCTTCTTATAAGGACTCCAGTCAGATCTGGTCAGGGCCCACCAAGATGGCTTCATTTTCACTCTATCACCTCTTCAAAGGCCCTGTCTCCAAAGACAGTCATTCTGAAGTACTAGGGGTTAGGGCTTCAACATGAATTCTTAGGGACACAATTCACTCCACAATAGAATCCAAGCAACAAACTTTTACTATAACTGCGCAACAATAGAGCTGAATTTAAATACAATGAGGAACTATCTGAAGGCAGTTAGGAAATATCAAAAACAACTACATAGAGGAAGCACCATCTGGGCCCAATTCTAGCTCCAGACTCTCAAGTCTATAAACCATCATCCTTGATTGTCACAAAAAATATTTCAGGTATCACAAAATGGGAATAAGATAGCATGGATGATAAGACAGACTTGAACAGAGGACAAAGGAGGAATGGATTTGTTCCAGAGGAACAAAGGTAAATAGCATCCTCTTATACTTGAACTGGGATTATGGATTCAAGTACAGCAAACTTGGAGCTCAGGTGAAGATTCTGACTGGTTTATGGGACAATCCTTTCTTTCATTTCTTAAGTCACAAAGATTTTAAAGTGTGTGTGAGTGGGAGGTGGGTTGGGTGTAAGGTCTTGAATGACTCCCAACTTTTGTCCTCTCTTCCATCCAAAAGCCATTCTGCTTCCACCTACCTCTGGCTAAACTTCTCTCTAGGCCAGATTTAAACCTCAATTTCTTACCCATTTAAAATACTCCTCTCTTGAAGAACCCCAAATCCCTAGGTAAAAAAGGAAGAGAAATGGAACTGCATTGACCTAAGTAGCCCAAAGTTTGGGGATCATTTCTGTTTGCCCCTTCCCTTTCCAGAACCTGAAAGTGACCTGTTTCCTTCTGACAGGGCTCGCCAGAGGCCACAGGGACCAACGCCAGGCTTCTAGGAGGTGGCTCCAGGCAGGTGGTCAAGAATGTGAGTGCAGAGGCCAGTAACTCAGCATCAACCACAGCAAAGCACCATCATGAACTCAACTCTCTCCCTTGAGTCTCTCTGAGAGCAGTGCAGATGTCTGAGCTGAACTTACCCATTTCCCTCTCCACCAGGCCACCACATGTAACACGAATGCTTGTTTCCTTCCTAAGTCTCAGGCAAGAGCTAGACTCCTCCAAGGTCAGGGCAGAGCTGCCTGAATCTATGGCTGCCCCTTCCCCATGACCCTTTTCTCCAAGAACTCAGGATTGCTTTCCAAAAGCTTCCTGGATCTTATTCTCAACCTTATTTTACTCACAGGTAAGACCGAAATCAGAGAGGCAATATGGCTTACCCAAAGTAAAGCAGACACTAAAAAGCAGATGCTTAGGTCTTATTCCTCATTTTCCGGTCTCCCTAAGGATATCCTTACTCCCCCTGTAAACCTGCCACCAAATTCTTGCCAATTCAGCTCAGGCAAAACAACTCAGAAGTCCTGGGGCTCATATAGCTGGATACCTCTACTGCACTGTATTGACCCTCTTCCCCACCTCACTGCTGTAGGAAACAAGAACTGAAATATAGCATTTGAAGCCCTGCCGTAATTCCTACTCTCAACCATATTAACCCTCCCATCTAACTAATAATCCCATTATTTCAGATTGGTTCCAGAGAGCCCCTAAAAGAAAACTCATGACAGTGCCGGGGCTGCCACAGAGGCAGTGTCCCTGTGATCATTTCAAAGGCAATGTGAAGAAAACCAGAAAGTTTCAAAAGAATGACCTACCTTAAACCAGAGTCCCTCTGTGGAATCAACTAGAGATGAAGCAGGGGTTGAGCACAGACGAGAGGTGAAATGAAGACCAGGATGAGCACATACCTCAGCCCCTTCTACTCAGTGTCAACTTGTGGGGAAATAGGAAGAGGAAGGAAAGCAGGACACAATTCTCCTGAAGGATATCAGAAAGGGTTAAGCAAATTCTTAGATTTTAGAGCCACATAGCTTATCAAAGTGGAGAGAGATGGGGACCTGATCATTGATATCTGAAGATGAAACCAGTGTCTGTGTGAAACAGAATTTGATTCTTTCCTAGTCCAGCAGTCTTTAAATGTCATATAAAAAGTAAATTGGCAGATGTTAAACTGATTTATATTGTGACATTATCAAGAATGCAATAAATCAGGATCCTTATCACTGTTGATGGAAGTAAAATACAATTCAGAGGTACCTATCAAAGATTTAAATGTGTGTACCTTTGAACCCAGTCATCTCACTTCAAGCATGGATACTCACAGACATACCTACAAGAATATTCATTACAGTAGCATTTGTGTTGACAAATAAACGGAAATAAAAAATGTTCATCCATCTAAAACAAATTGGACAATGGTGCAGTTGTCAGAAACAATGAGGTAAATCATTACGTGTTGATCAAAAAGATATCCACAACATATTAAGTGAAAAAGAGATAAAGAGATCCCTTCTTCACACTCTTCACAAAAATAAATTTCAAGAGGATTAAAGATCTAAATTTGAAAGATAAATGTATAAGGGAATATAGGAGAATATATTCATGACTTTGGGGTATGAAAGGATTTCTTAAATAAGATACAAAAAGGAAAATCCATAAAAGAAAAGATTAATAAATCTGACTTCATTGAAATTAAGAAATTTGGGTCATCAAAAGAATAAAATTATAATCTAAAAGTAGGAGATGATATCTCCAACATATATAACTGACAAAGGATTAATATGCAGAATATGGAAAAAATTTCTACAGATCAATTAAAGGCAGGCAGGTGACACAACAGACAAATAGGCAAAAGACTTGAATAGGCACTTCAGAGATGAGGAAATCCAAATAACTAATAAACATATGAAATTCCACTCAACCTTACTAGTAAGTGGGAAAATGTGAATTAAACCCAAACAGATATACTATACATCATCAGATTGGCAAAAATTTTAAAGTCTGACAATACCAAGTGTTGACAAAGAGAAGGACAGAGAAACTCTCATATCCTGGGAATGGGAGTGTAGATTGGTAAATCACTTTGAAAAAGTGCTGGCAGTTATCTGCTAAGGTTTAAGGTCTGTGACCAAATAATTCCACTCTCAGGTATATACTCAAAAGCAACACAGACTTATGTATACCAGGAGACACGTACAAAAATTTCATAGCAGCATTGCTCATAACTACCCCAAATTCAAAATGAACCAATGAGTAAATAAATGGTGGTGTATTCGAATATTGTTTATCAGTGAGAATGAACACATAACAATGTAAATGAATCTTACAAACATAACGTTGAGTAAAGAAGACCGAGACAAGAGAGAATATCTCAAGTATGATTTCATATATGTAAACTTCAAAAGCAGGCAAAATTAAACTAAATTCCTTAGGAATACATAAGTAGGTGGTAAAACAATAAAGAAAAGAAAGTAAATGCTTACTATAAGAGTCAGGATTACCTCTGTGAGGGAGGGAGGGAGGATAGTGATGAGAAAAGGAGGGGGATTTCTGGCAATATTCTATTTATAGGCCTGGGTAGTAGTTTCATGAATATCTGCTCTATAACTATTTATTGAACTGCACATATGAGTTTTTATGGACCTCTGTAGATGTACAATATTTTGCAATAATAAAAGATTTGTCAAAGGTGCAGAGCAAAGCAATAAGTACAGTAGAATCTCATTTTTGTTTTTTGTTTTTTTTTTTTTAAGATTTTATTTTTTCCTTTTTCTCCCCAAAGCCCCCCAGTACATAGTTGTATATTTCTCATTGTGGGTTCTTCTAGTTGTGGTATGTGGGACGCTGCCTCAGCGTGGTTTGATGAGCAGTGCCATGTCCGCGCCCAGGATTCGAACCAACGAAACACTGGGCTGCCTGCAGCGGAGCGCGCGAATTTAACCACTCAGCCACGGGGCCAGCCCCCTCATTTTTGTTTTTTAAACTAAACTATTATGTTTGCATAGAAAAAGCTATGGAAGACTACGTAGCAGCAAACTATTAACAGTGGTTAGTTCTGGGGAATGGGGAGTGGAGGCTGAGGAGGGGAAATGTCCTTTTACTTCTTACTTGACATATTTTTTATTTTAACTTTTTCCACTGGACAGGACTTACTTTATAATTTTAAAAGCTCTCATAAAAATTAAATTTTCTAAATGTTTTTAACACTAGTTTCTACACTTTATTTTCACCCTAGGGCACCAAAGACATCACAGGAAGCTAAACAAGCGCTCCAGAGCCTGCCAGCAATTTCTCAAACGATGTCAGCTAGCAAGCCTTGCTCTGCCTTTGTAGGAGCTCTGAGAGCCCACTCTCCCAATGAAACACTCTCAGTCAAGAGGCAGTGAGCGCACCTAGAGGATGCTCTTCTCCCACCTCAAGCTCGCCCTCCCTGTCTCCACTCCAGGGATCTCAAAAGGCATTCTCCCAAGGTTATTGCTCCCTCTAGTGCCTCCTTCTCTCCTCAGTCTTTCCTGTGCCCTCCCCTTACCCAGGCTTAAGCTTAATTATCTGGAAGAAACCAGGAAACTCCCATTTCCCACCTGGTCCTAACTGACCTAAAATACAGCCAGGGAAGTAGCAAACAGAAGTCAATAAATATTCTCAAGTGAAAATACTCCAAATCGTTTCTTTCAAATGGGGTCTGGCAATTCATACTCAATCCAGATGATCCACTTTGCCCTGTCACTCCAAACCCCACCCAGATTCTACACACACTTCTCCCCACCACCACTCTCACTCTCTCTCCCTCTACAGCCCAACTATTTATTCTTTCACTCATTCAACAAACGTTTCAGGGGTAAGAGCTAGGTGGGCCAAAGAAAGCAGGTATAGCAATGAATCAGACATGGTCTTATTAAAGATAATATAGGTTTAAAAAAACAATAACTAGCACATTTTCCTAGATCGTAGAACATCTTTAGTATTTACGATTATCATCACCATCATCATCATCATTATGGTCACTGTACTCCGTGAGCTTCCAATGTAGTATAGAAGACACATACGCAGAACCATCGTTCAAGGCTAGAGAGATGGTGTGGGAGATCTCAAATGCCATTTAAAAGGGCTTCAAGCTGTAAAACTTGGAAGATGTCATTTTTTTTAACATGAAAGTGAAATGATCAAAGCAACAATGTAAGGAAATTGAACTGGCAATCATTTGAAAGAATGAATAAAGAAGAAAAAATTATTACAACAATATAGAGACTGCCTCTCCCTCGGATCCACTCCTCAAATACCAAAGAAGAGAAAAAAAAAGAACACTGATCCAGAATCTGGCTTCTGTCATCCCAGACGAAAGAGAGGACTAAGTTGGGATGCTTGCCTTAGGAGAAAAAAACATTTTGACTGAGTGGTGAGTGGGGCGGGGCCCCATTTATGACATAAGAGAACAAGCCCCTCCCCTCTGGCAGGAGAGTGCGGGACACACAGCCTCCTCCTGTTCTTAATCCCTCTTCCCACAGCAAGAGGCACAGAAGTGCATCACTTGGGACAGGAGTGGGTACCAGCAGTGGTTGGCCCACTTGCTAACTGCCTTATAAAGGAAGACCAGGGATGTCAGGATCAAGAAGTGGAACCCAAAGGGAGGTGCAATCATGAGGAACCAATGAGGGATCTGTGACAAGGGAAACATGAGGGAGGAGGGGCAGAAGGATGAAGTCTGGGAGATCAACATCTCCTGTGAGGGAAATAACACCAGTGGAGCCAGGTGTTAAGGCAGTACCTAGACCTGACTGGGAACCTGAGCCACAACAGACACCAATCACCCAGCCAGAGCCTGGGCCAGAAAAGGCACCCACAGCCCAGCCAGCATCTAAGACTCAGCAGGGACCCAATACCCAACAGGAGGCTGCCTCACAGCAAAGACCTCTCACTCAGCAGGAGCCCCTTGATGAACATGAAGCTGAATCCCACCAGGAACCTAGAACCCAACAAAAATCTGCTTTGCTGCAGGAATTTCTTGCCACACAGGAGCCTGCACCACAGCAATCACCTCCCACCCAAATGGTAGCCTTCACTGAATAGGAAGCTGCCTCACAGCAGAGACCTGGGCCAGGAATAGAATCTAGAAGTCAACAGGAACCAGAATTGAGAGATGGACATGTAGCCCAGACAGAACCCAGCCTAGGAGAACCATCTAGCTCAGCAAGAAGCTAGATCAACACCTCCAGCCCAGCCTAGACCTGGACCCCGAAATGGATCACTTGCCCAGATTGGAACTATGTCCCAAGAGACCACCAAGACAGTCAGACCCAATAGCCCAGCAAACAGCTCCAGCCCAGGGAGCCAAATCCCAGCAAGGATCTTTGACGGAGTGGGGACTTCTATCAGAATTGAACCAACTATCCTCTCAGCAATGGGCCTCAGAGTGGAAGACATGCTTTGAGTGGGTCACAGACCCAGACTCAGAATCAGATTTGGGGTCTCTGCTAGGGACCCATTAGCCAGCTGTGAGGGGTGGGACACTGGCCCAGGGAACGAATCTGGCCTTCAAGGGGAAGCCTGGTTATGGAGTGATGTCAGGATATGGTGGGACATCAGCACTCAGGAAGAACAGCCACAGCCAGAAGCACAGATGCTACCGAGACATGGCTGAGTGTGAGCCTGGGGGACAGGGAGCCTCCCAGGACAGCCATTCATTCAGTCAGGGGTACTAAGGGCCACCAGTATGTCAGTTAGCCTGGGTGATCCCTCCCCAGTCCTGCCAGGCAAAGAGCCCCAGCCCCATCTGATGGATGAGGAAGCTGAGGCTTAGAGAAGAGAAGGCTGAGCCCGAGGCAGGGCAGTGAGGGAGCGGCCCAGCCAGGATCCAAGGCAGGGTGGGACTTCTTCCTCTGCACCAGGCTGCCCCCCACAGAAGATTGGGGGCAAATCACACAGAAGTGGGAAAGGGCTCTGGGCAAGAGACCAGGAAACGGGGGAAGCTGCCCTCCTGCAAGCATGCACCCACCCGTCCCCAAATCACCGAGCACAGCCCTGTGCAGACACTGCCACAGGCACCAGCGACACCATGCTGACATGGACCCTTACCCTGGGGAGCTCCATCCCAACTTAGGATCCTGAGCTCCCAGGAAGACACCGCTCCCCCACAGGTTCCCCCGCCCCCACCCCCGCCCAGGAGAGTCGCAGGCCAGCCAGGCTCATGGCCTTGAGGGCGTTCTCAGGAAGGGAGCCTGCGAGAGGTTCTGTGGGGTCCGCCAAAGTCCAGGCAGGGCCGGGACTGGATGGAGGGGGCAGCGGAGGGGGGGACGGGCCAGGACTCGGCGGCCGCCAGCTCTCCCTCCCCTCCTCCGAAGCGGGCAGGGGCCCGGCGGTGCAGGCTCAGCCCCCGCTCAGGCCCCGACCCTCCTTCCCTGGGCTCAGAAGCCCGCCATGCAGAAGGCAGGCGCACACGTTCCATCCGCGGACAGAGGGGTCCCTCGTTGAAGCGGCCTGAGGGGAAACAGGGCAGCCCAGTCCAGAGGCCGAAGGCGCTGCAGGGCCGGTGAGTCGGCAGGCTGCCATGCTGCTCTCGCTGAGGTATGTCCCTCCCAGAAGGGCTGTGTCCCTCAGGGCGGAGGAGAAGACGGAAGGATATCTCACGGGTTGCTTGCCTGCTTTGCGAGGGCGGGGAGGAGGGTTGGGAGGGAAAGAGGGTCCCAGTTCTGCTTTTTCCGGCGATGACGATGAAGAGCTGTTTCTCTGGGCCTCCAGAACCCAGTCTCCAGGGACATCCTCTCCACAGCGCCGCCGCAGACCAGGCCGCTTCCCCTCACGCACCCGAGGCGCAGTTGACTGTGTGCGCATGCGCGAGCCTTGAGCTGTCTCTGTCTCCCGCCTTTTCCCAGGCACGCGGCCCTCCCACTACTGCGCTCCTCGCGGCAGGCCGGCTGGTGGCTTAGAGTTAGTGCGCAGGCGCTACGCTTTCTCCTTCCCCCTCCCTTCCATTCCAGGGGAGAGTGAGAGGGCAGCGAAAAGAACTCTGAGAAAGAGCAATAGGAGAACCAGGAGACAAAGGGCAGGGAGAAGGCGGGGCTTCCGCCTCCACTGGTTCCCAGGCAGACAGCCAGGCCTCCGGTGCTGGCACCCCGCGCCTCCCCCTTAGAATTGCCCCACTCTCCAGATCCCTCTGGCAGGCAAGGTTGCATTGTAGGGAATCCGTTTGGTGGGAAGGTTAATGGGGATGTGAGGCTGAATGCCAGCACGTGGGAACATCTAGGCTTCCCTACTGGGGGGACCCTCGCGAGACTCCCCACTAGTCTGCCTGAAGGACGCTTTTTGCCAACTCCAGGGCTGCATTTTTGTTGGTCTGGGGCCTTTTAATGCGTGTGAGGGGTGAAGGCCAGGCCATAGGCCCTAGCGGTTGGGGGCGGGGTCAGGCAGTGCAGTGAGGCCTGGATTGCTCAGGGGGGCGGGACCCAGAGAGGAGCGAAGCCCCAAGGACTGGGTGGTGTGGGGGCCCGGCGGTGGACTGTAGCAAGGATTGGTCCTCGGGGCGGGGCCTGGCGGCTGGAACTGGCCCACGGACAAGGACTGCGGAGAGGTGATGGAGTCCTCCAAGGAAACGAGGCCCGCCTCACCGGGGAGCAGGTAGGGAACTGAGGAGCACGGATAGCCCCCTCCCCCAGACGCCCTCTTGCCTCTTACTGCTCACACCGGTCCCGCCTCCTGTCTGTCTAAGCACATCCGCTGTGTGGGATGAGGCCCAAGCAGGCTGCCCCAGCTTCACCCGCCTTCTCCTCCCTCACACCCCAGGACAGTGAGGAGCTCAGCAGCCTGGTAAAGTCGGAGGGTCGCAGAGCCTGGCGCTGCGGCCACGCCCCCAACAGGCACCCCGCTCGCAGTCCCTGGAGGTGCACATCTAAGGCGTCGGCTTAGTGGCCCAGACCTCCAAATCCTAAGAGCCCTACATCAAGAGCTGGGCCCAGGAGCTGGGCGCCCCTGTGCTCTCCATCGACTACTCTCTGGCCCCCGGGGCCCCCTTCCCAGCGCGCTGGAGGAGTGCTTCTACGCCTACTGCTGGGCTGCCAAGCACTCCAGCCTCCTTGGTGAGCCCTGGCCCCTCACTCCCACCAGCTCCCCCTTCCTAACCCAGCCTGCTTCAGCCCCCACACCATACTGCAGGGGGAGTGAGGTATCTAGTGACTCAAGCCTTAGTATCTCACTACAGCCTCCCCTTACATCTCCTACCACCCAGCCCTCTGCCACCCATTCGCTCCCCACTCACACCTCTATCTCTGCCTCAACGCTTTCCCCAACTGCCCCACTGCTCACTGGACCTTCCATCTCCACCACTTCCTCCTCCTGCCTCCTGCTTTCTCACTCCAGCCCTGATGCTCCATCCCCTCCACCTCTCCATCTCCTCTGACCTTGTCATTCCTCCTCCTGTTTCTCCACCCCCTGCTGTCTTGCAGTGGCTCAACTCCAGTCCATTCATCCAGCTCCTCTGACCTCCAATTTCTGACATCTTGGGAGGCACAGAGCAGGGCAGGGCCACACCCCAGGGCACAGGGCTTGTGGCCCTTCAGTGCTGTTAGCCTGAACCCTGGCCTTCCATCTCCTGGCCTCAGATGCCCCTCCCTCCTGAAATAGCCCTTAGTCTCTCCTTTCCCACCACCCACCCTGCTTGCTTCTGACCTCCAGCCTCACAAGCTTCCCCAGAGCTTCCTGATCTCTGGACCCCTCCATGTCCTAAGTCAGCCTGATCCTCTGACCACTGTCCTCCAAACAGGTCCAAATGCTTGCCTCAGTTTACCAGTCTCTAAAAGTGCAGTTGGCTAGACCTTGGGCTTGGGCCACCACCCCCCACTCCCCACCCCTGAGAGCCCAGGGCTCGTGGCTCAGAGCTTGAGTTCCTCTCTGCCAGGCATGACCAGTGGTGAGGGAAATAGAACAATTGTTCTATTTATGATGTTAAATAGGAGTTAGTTGACTAGAAAATCCAAACTTAAAAAGTGTGCTTCAGAACAGAGAGTCATAGAAATAAGGCAGCTGCTTGTCCATTACCAAAATGACTCTTTCATCTAGATGATACTTCTAGACTCTTTTTTCATCATCTGTTGAAAAGCTTGTCATTACACAAGCAGTGATGTCACCAGAAGCCTATACTAAATTTCGTCTATCTGGAAGAACCTCTTAAACTCATCATCTCAGATATTTACAAAGGTAGGTGCCCTGTACATCCAATGTTTTAGAAATCTGAACCCAACAAGTTATTCTGGTCTGCTGGGCACCAGAGAAACCTTACAATGTTCCTTAAGCCATAGCATCATTCCTGTCATTTTTTCCCTTTACATCAGCACAGGATCTCCAGTGAGGCTGGAGGGTTCCCTGGGACATGGGTCGTCCTGGGGCTCCACAGAATAGCAGCCACTGACTCCATGAGCTGGAAATGTGTGTGCTGGGAGGTACATAGTCATGGTCTTTAAAGAAACACCCTGTACATATTTCCATTCTTTGTATTACTGTTCATAGTTGTGTGGGGAAAAGTAGTGCTTGAGGGAAGAAGGAAGGGTAAGTCTTTTGAGTAAGGTGTTTGCTTCTGCCAGTACCCTGGTGATGGTGGGTTTTTATTTGGTTTTGTCTTTTAATATTTTCAAGCTGCATGAGGAAAAGAAACAAAAGGTACTCAGGACAAAATGTAGTTTGAATCACTTTCATTCTGCTCGGGCCAGTAAAGTTCAGACATGCAATTAATCACAATTTAACACAGATACAAGGGAGATGGTAGGATGCAATTGGTTACTAATGACCCTGCCAGTGACTGCAACTCCTTAGTTGTAATTTGCAGGGCAGTGCTGGCCACCAGCAGGGCATCCAGGAAACATGCCTCTGCCCTGCAGGCCTTGTCACTTAGGATCTGTGCACATGGGCCTTGGCTGAACTGCTATGTAATATTCCAGACTGGGCCTTCCATAGCAAGAGATGGGTCCTGTCAGGTATTTCAAGAGCCTTCCTATTGGTAAGAATCAGGAGAGATGTCATTCACTGTGGCACAGCTTCTCTCAGGGCCTGAGGGAGCAGGTGGTGTCTGGGATTCACCATCAACTCCAGATCAGGACCAAGGACATGGGGAGTGTGAGGTCCTGCCTGACCGCACCTCTCAGGACACCACTGCTGGGCTGTCTGTGGGAACTCGGCCTCCCTTCCCACTCCCTGCAATGCAAGAAAGGGACCCCAGAGTCTCTTCATGGAGAGTTGGACAGTGAAGGGGCACAGGTGAATCTGGGGAGGTGGAAGTGAGGAGATGCTGTTATTCCTGGAGGGAGGAGGGGTAGATGGTGGGCAGACAGGAGTGCCCAGCCCCCTGAGCTACTGCAGCTGACTCATTGCCTCTGGAGAATCCAGGCTTTCCCCTGCAAAAGTTCAAGAACTTCCCAGTTCAGTGCTTCAGGCTGAGGCCCCTCAGTTCTGTTTCCTCACCCAGTCCTGCATCAACTCTCTGTCCCCGTCACACATGGGCAGCGCTGTTTGACTGCCCAACTTTCCCAATACCCCTAGGTCTTCAGAATGGTCAGTGCCCCCCTATTCCCACCAGTCTTGAGGCCAAGACTGGTCAGCTGTGGGAGCAGGCTATCAAGCTCCATCATCCTGATCATCAATCGTCTGTCAGGAGGTGGCAGCAGCTGAACAAAGGAGAGATGCAGGGACAATTGTGAGCCACCGTGTATGTCTGCAAGTGGACCTGTTGGGGAGGACCCAGTAAATAACTGAACCTCCTGCTAATATAGATGTGGGCAGTGTGTGCCTTGGGTCTTAGTAGAGTATGCATGGATATTTTCTTAATTTGTAGGACAGGCTTTTGATTTTGGAATTATAGTTTCCCTTAATATCACCTCAATCCCACCCATTTGGGGCACAGATTGCAAATTCTGCACCCTGGAACAGGGTTGGTGGTGGGACCAAGGCACTGGCACCCTGGCCCTGGAACTCTCTGTATGCACAGCTGCTGCAGAGAGGTGTTCTCTGTTGGGAGTAGTGGCCTTCCGAGACATCAGTACACATCTCTGGTGCCCTCACTCCTCCCAGCAGGCCCCTCACCCTCAGAGGCACCTGCCCTTGTCCTCATCCCTACCTCAGCCTTCAGAGCAGTCTCTGAGCTGACTGCCCCAGGGACATCATGAGGGTCATTTGCTCTCTTTGCTCTGCTCCTGATGCCTGCCTGGTGCAGTGCATGGTCCTCTAGGTTCCCTGAGGGGTGTGTGTGTGTGTGATGCATTCCTGCACACACGTGAAATCTCAAGGTGATGGAATTTGAAAGTCATTTAACAAACGTTTATTTTAAATGCAAGAATTCATTGTTAGGACATATGTATCGAATAAACTAGTGTTCCTGTCATAGACTGGATCACTTGTCTTAATCTTCCTGTCTTCCCGATGTTAGAATGACACATCCAGGCCCTTTGCCTGCACCTTGCAGGTCCTCTCACTAGAAGGAAAGCATATCCCCTCACCAGCCCTGTTTTTCTCAACCTTGGCCATAAGAACCCGGAAACCAGCAATCTCCATTCTCCAAAGGCACCCCAGGTAATTCTCAAGGACACTGAGAATGTGAGAAACATTTCCCTAAATGGTATAATTTGACAGGTTCCACCAGTAGGACAGATTTTTGCCATGTTGTAGGTGACAGGAGATTTGCATATTGAGTCTCCTTATCCTAATCTATAAAACTAAACCAAAATACTCAAGCAGTCATGTTATCAATTATGTAGAAACAGCTGGAATCTTAGGAGATAAAAATATTACCTGCAGCTCTGGACCTCCCTCAACAAATAGCAGAAAAGGATCATAGTCATTTCCCCCAGTACCCATGCCTGGACAGGGACCACTGGGCCCTGAGTGTCCAGCCTTTGGTGCCCAATATGCCTGGAACCATACCTCTCCAAAATGACTGGCTCCTGGGGTTGGTTCCAGGTCATCAGTCCAGGCTGCCATCCTCCTGGAGTCCCTGATGTCTGTCCTAGGAGCTTCACCCAGAGCAAATCTAAAGAATGTTTGAGGGCTGGGGGTTGTGGCAGTAAGAACACTTGCATTGGTCTCAGGTGATAGAAAAGGTCCACAGGAGCTCAAAGAGGAACATGAGTGCCCTCTAGTGGATGGTTCCTGCTGGAAGAAGAGCAAAAGAGGCCAAGACAGCTGAGAGATTAGGGGTGACCTTAGACTAAAGGCACATTCAGATTCAGAAGGATGAATATTTAAGGGTGATCAACTAACTTACGGCTGCCTGTAGCTAACCATCTAGAAGACTGGTTTTTCAAAGAGTGTAACCACAAGTCAGAATGACACCACTGGGTTGTACTGCAGTCAGATGAGGGACATACTATAGACCCTGAGATGAAAAAATACATGATAACAAATCTATACTCAAGTCATTAGACGGTCTACTGTGATGATCTTACCACCTTCAGAGGCACCTTAGCAATGAATGGAAAGTCATTCTGATTGGGAAAAAAATATCTTATTAAGAAGAAAATTATATCATTGGAGCGTCTCTTTATTTTCAGAATCATATATCTTGGCATCAATCCTTAAGTGTGAATCTACACCCAAAAATGTACTCTGTCAGAGACTGGCCATTGTTGGGGTCTCATTGCCAGCAAAAGAGGACTGACTGGCCCCAACCGTGGGCCCCTCTCTGAAGCAGAGGAGCCTTTGATGCTCCCTCATTGGTGGTGAGGGGGGGTTCTTTTTAGTGTCCTCACGATTCAGCCTCACTCTCGCACTCTGGGTAGAATCTCTTGTTTATCTTGGATTTGATACTTAAATTACCGACCTCTATTTCTGTGCTTCATCCATACAGCATGTTGACAGACCCAGGAGTGCCTTCAGCTCTGTGATTTTTGACGGAAAAGTTCTCAAAAATACTTGCCTTCACCTTCCTTGAACAGACCTCCACTTGAGTGCCATCATTATTACCCAGAAGTATTTAGACACTTTTATTGGTTGTGAGATGCTTTCTGACTCTGGGGGATGCGTGACTCTCTGCACAGGGATGACCAGTAGAAATGGACAAAGAGAAATCACATTAGTGTTCACAGAAGAGCTATAGGAACTCATGAAAGCTTAAAATCACAGGAGACTGCACATAAAATCCACATTCCTGTGCTGATACGTGGATCCTGGTGACTTTTGCCATTTCCTTAAGAGCTAAAGTACAAAAAGTGATATTAATAATGAACTGGAGAGTAAGATATACCTCACCGCTACTGATAAAAGTAAAATAGTCGTTTTTCCTTAACAGAGCATCCAGTGCATTATGTTCATTTTCACAATGATGTAACTGTGACTACAGGCTATATACAATTTTGTGACCTAACAGAAATGGCTACAATTTTCCCTTTAAATCTCAAATACAAAACTAGAAGGTGGCTCCCAGGCCTTCTCCCAGATCACACGGTCTGTGATGAGCAGCAGGATGAGTCGAGCCACAGCTCCCATGGTCCTCAAGATAGCCGGGGCACCCTGGGCTATCCCTGCACCCTGATGTCCCCACATCCACGGGACCCTGATTGGTGAGTGCAGGGGCAGCTGCTGGAGAGTCCCCCTCTCTGTGGCCCCATTCCAACCATCACCACAACCTTGCACTCTTCTCCTCTAGCCGTGTCCACAGACATCCCAAAGTTCTGGCAGAACAAAACCTACTAGAAAGCACTGACCCCATGCTCAGCTTTCATGGGCAGCTCCTGGGCATGCCTGGACCCCATGACCACCCACCAACATGCAGCCAGATGGACCTGCCAGTCCTCGCAGAACCCCATCACCTGACCCTTCTCTCCCACGACAGGAGCGTCAGGTGAGGTGGAGGGTTTGATTGGCTAGGCACTGAAAGTGTCCAGATTCCAGTGCCAGGGAGGTGGTGCTGAGGCCTCTGGTGGTGCCAAGATGGGAGACTGAGGCTTGAAAAGGAACAGGCAGTGAGAGCAGGAGGTGGAGCCAGGGTGTGGGCCACCATGATTAATCTATGATGGGAGATGATTTTGTGTGTGTGTGTGCCCAGGGGGCACTGTGAACAGGCTCCACTTAAGAGACAATGTCTGCGAGGATGAGAGGTAAGCCAAGCCAGATATACAGCCATCCCTGTGTGTACCCCGTAACAGACGCTTGATAACAGTCATTAAATGGCTGAAGGAAACCACACGATGGAAGCCTGTCACCTTCTGTGACACTTGGGAGTCAGAGCATGTTCACTGTAGACACAGAGACACCAGCATCAACATGGGAGGAGGCCATCAGGTGCCCAAAGCTGTCCCGAGGAGAGGCCTTTTCCCTTGTTGAGTCAGGAGGGAGGACAGGGGCCTCCTAACAGTGAGGGTTTGGATCCCCATTCATTCCCAGAAAATCATACCTCCACCCCATCTCCACCTTGTGACTTCTCTCTGCAGAGGGCCTGGGCTAGCAGCCTGTGTCCTTCCTCTTCTCACAGAGATCTGACCTGACACAAAATCTGGATTTTCTACCCCACTTAAAATTACTATCAAAAGAGAAGGGAGTTCCACTGTGACCTCAAAGAAGAAGCGTGGAGTGACTCCTTACCCCGATGTTCCCTAGTCTGTGGAGACACCTCACTATGGTCCCCTGATGACTTCTCATCAAGCCAAGGTATCCCAGTGAATGAGGGAAACTCCCCAGGCACGATGGGACACGAGAACCAGGATCTGCATTTGCTTCCATCTCAGTGTGTCCCATGGGGGCCTCCCCTCCAACAAAGGAATTCCCAGGATCCCCTAGCTGACTCTCCACATGGAGCTGTTTCAGGTCCCTAGCCCTGTGGGGAGATCTAGAGCAGACGACAGAAGGGGACACAGATGACTTTGATGCAGCACACTCAGTTCTGTGATGGGAGAAACAGAGGCCATGCTGAAGATCAGTCTGCCAAGGCCAGTGCCCTCTCCCGAAAGCCTCAAGAGACCCCTCACCAGGCCTTTCTATTGCAAGCTCGGGAGCAGAGACCTCCTCCTGAGGCAGCACATCCACTAGGCAGCACAGAACACTGGATCAGGAGTCCACTGGACAATGCCTGTCCTTGCCCTGGGCTCACCCTGCACTGGGATGGAGTCAGGCAGCCTGGGGACCTGCAGTGACCAAGGTACAGACTGACCAACCCCTATAACATGGAGGTCAGAACCCACATCTGTCCAGGTCTTAGGAACTGCTCACACCCTATGGAGCCCAGGTAACATGACATGGGCCACAGGTCTCTTCGTGCCCTCCAGGAGATGACATTGGGACACACAGAGACAAGACACAGGAAATTAACACATAAATGTGACTTTGGCTAAGGAGGTGCAGAAGGAGCCTGATTTCTATCCCTTACTCAAACCATCCCTTCTGAGTCCTGCCTACCTTCCTAGAATGTCTCACCCACTCTTCTAGGGCCTCGGGGCACCCTGCTACTTCAGGAGTCCCTGCAAAGCTCCACACTCCTTGCATAGTACCATCCATGGGGAAGACAGGGTGACCACAGGAAACTGAGCCAGGCAGAGCACAGAGGCAGCCAGGATGGTGAAGGAGCACATGGATAGGCTCTGAGCTACTGCTGAACCAACAGACATGGAGGTGGGGGTCTCCCTGAAACCTTCCTCCAAGGACCAGGTAGCCTACCCACCAACACCATCCTCTCACCCAGGACATGCAGAAAACCTCCCCCATCACACCCAGGACTGCAGCTCCTTCTGAGACACCTGTACTGGGTGTCTGTCCCAGAAAGCAGAGCCAAGGCTGATGACACCAGAAATGGAGAGTGGGTCACCTCACGAGTCATCACTCAGTTTGCCCCTTTCTCACCCCCAGAGTCATCTCTGTGACCTTTCTGCTGGGAGTAAGACAACCTTCTCAGAGCATTTGAGGACACTGGGAAGACCCTGGTTTCCAGCAGGTTTTCTGTGTCACAAACAGAAATAATCCCCCAGGTTTGGGGACTCCTGGGTCTCTGTGTGGTGCTGACAGACTCTAAGGCCAGGACACAGCACAAACCAATGCTGGGATGGCTGAGTCATCCTCTCAGGGGGCAGAGGTGCGCATCAGCCTTGCTTTTGAAAGTGTGCTGCGTAGGCCATTGTGATCAGCATCACCTGAGAGCTTGTTAGATGCAGACTCTGAGGTCCACCCCACACTTGCTGGGTCAGAATCTGTATTTTAAGTGGATCTTCAGGACTCTCACCACCCTGGGTCTATCCTGCAGCACAGTAGAACTCTGGTAGGACCCAATGGCGCATATTCCTTAGGCCCCCCACGTCAAAATGGTTAAAATGGTAAATTTTAGATTATGTGACTTTTATCTCAAAACAAACAAAAAATTTAGGAGAGGCACCTACACATTACCTTATAGAAAACTGGCACCAATGTACAGCCCTGGGAGTGTATGTGGTCTATTTATTCATGCCCACAGCCTTCCCATAGTAATTATGTGGGGGGAGAAGAGATGTCACCCAGTTATCCATCTTTCTTTCCTTTATTCATTCTCTGAGCAATTATAGCCATTTACTTGTTTCAGCCCCTTGTGTAGGAGCTATGTGGCCACTGAGAACCACAACAAGGCCTGTCCTGCCTGTCTCTCAGGTATGCAGGAATCTATAGGACACATGACATGAGCATAGGTAACTGCTCCTGAACACGTTGTCACAGCACAAAGGGGAGGATTCAGAGGAGGGAGTTCAGAAGGAACTCATTGTGTCCACTGGTGGAGGTTGGAATGACCTTGTGGCGAAACAGTCAATGAGGTTTACTGCAAAGAAGGGGAAGAAGCAGGTTCATGGAGAAAGGAAAGAGGGCACCCCTGTGGGAGGCAGGAGCAATTCTTGATGGACCAAGAGTTGTGAGGGGCAGTGTATGTGGAAATAGGATGACAAGGAGGAGGTGAGAGGGAGCTCATGGGGGAAGGTGAGCTGAAACAGATCGTGGCTGTTTGGAAGAGTTGATGTGTTTTATGGGTGTCTTTTCCCCACAGCCTGAGCTCAAGAGGGCAGGATGGGTCAGGACACTAGGGGAGGGAGCTGAAAAGAAGTTACACCCATGATAAGTCTACCACCTATGGTTGCTCCTTCCTTGTTCATATTTGTGTGCACATCAGCTGTCCCCATTTTCTGTTTTCCTGTCCCTACCTGTGTTTGCAAAGGGAAAAAGGCTGGGAGCTGTCCATGGTGTGAGGGCAGCCCAGCGCCCTCCTGGCTGGGCAGAGGCTTTTGCGAATCTCATTGTTTCCTTTTAATACTGTCCCCAATACATTCTGCCACCACAACTCCACTTTCCTAGGAAATAGGGTTGGGGGTTGGGATAATTTAGGCATAATGTTTTACCTGTGTGTCTCCGGAAAGAACGGACCCAGAGTTTCAGGTGAATTTCTGCTAAGAGAAAATTCCCATGAGCAGAAAAAGAGTAAATGAAGGGAAGGGTCCTCATTATTCACATTTTTTACCGGTGGTCCCCTCAGTCACAGACCTGTTCAATTTCCCAGGAAGCCCCCTACTCCCTAAGGAGAAGGCAAAAAAGCCTGGAAATAAACGTTAAAAATTTAGAAGTTTTTCTCAGCTGGGAATGGCACTGCCCCCACTCAGAGAGAATTTGGAAATGACGGGGGACATATTTTTGCTCTACCAGTTACATGATAAGCCTTCCAGACCTAAGAGTGTAGGGATGATAAATCCCTGGTTGAACCTGGAGACTGTCTCACATAACATGGAATTTCCCACCAAAATGCCAATTGGTGCTCCTCAGAAGAAATGAATGCAAAGATTTTATTTTTATTTACAGCGCACATCCTCAACTGACATAATATATATTTATTTACTTCCTGGGCTTCTGTCTCCACATGAGAGAAGTGACCTAGCTTTGTTAACAGCTGTATATTCTGACTCTTTAATGAGGGAAAACCATGAGATTCATGTTTGAACAGTATTTAAAGAGGCTTTGGATGCAAAGAACAAAATATGAAAAGTATCCAAGGACTTCTTACCTGGTTTTTTATCTTCTCCGTTATGACGCAAATATAATTTTGTATTTATTTAAATGGCATTGTGCCACATATAAGGCTTATCTCATTTTTTTCATTAGTTATCTTCTTTGAGATTTATCCTTTAAAAATATTTGGGTCTACTTTAGTGGTTGTCAAATTTATGGTATTTTCCTCCCAGAGATATTGGGAAATGTCTGAAGATGTGTTTTGGTTGTCAGAAATTATGGGTGAACTATTGATACCTACTGGATTGAGGCCAGGGATGTTGCTACAAATCCTGAACACAC